TCAAGTTCGTGGTCCAGAGCTATGATTCAGATCTCACCTTACACTTTCTCTGCTGTCGGAATTGCCATTGCTATTGGTGTCTCTGTTCTTGGTGCCGCTTGGTAGTCATATTTTTGTGAAAAGATTAATTTTTAATGTTGTTGTTGTTAAAGGGTACTCAAATCTGATTACAAGTTTTTGATTTTGTTATGGTATAGGGGGATTTACATTACTGGAAGTAGTCTGATTGGTGCTGCAATCAAAGCTCCTCGCATCACCTCCAAGAATCTCATTAGGTAATTTCAGAATATTACACTTTTCCCCGTTTTGTCCTGTGACTATCCTTGTGAATCCTGAAATGTTGCATTTGATTTACTCTATCCGTTTCAATTTGTTTGTGTGGTTTTGACTCTGACATAGAGTTTAAGAAAATAAAGAAAATTTTTGAATCTTGTGGTCTTATATTAAAGATATGTAGAATGTATCAAAATGCTCTTTAAACTTATAGTCTTAAATGTGCCTCATAGAAAGTTAGAATTAAAGAGTTGTTAAAAAAAGAGATTCTTTTTGGAACAACTAAAAAAGGGAGGTAAGACAAACAAGTTGAAACATAGGGAATATAAAGATTATCCTTGTGAATCTTGATATGTTGCATTCGACTTAGTAGAGCTTTTTGCAGTTTTAGGCTTGTTCTTTAAGAAAATACTAGCTTGATATTAACATGGATGGACACAGGAATTCACTAAAGTAGTTCAATAAAAGACAGTGAAATTGTGCTAGACCTCATAGTGAAGGGATTTAATAAGATGTGCATATAATCATATAAATAGTTTTATTTTTTGGAATGTAATTACCCATATATAAACAGTGAAATTCTCTTGGAAGAAGGGATTAGCTGAACCCCGCCTACATAGGTCTGCCCTGTTGATATATAGTTCAGCCCTCTGCAAGTTGTCTCTTGTATTCCATATTTATCTTCAGATGAAGAATGCCTTAATTGTTGGTGTCTTAGAAGCTCAAAATGATTCTGTTAAGGTACCATATGCAGCAGATTGAAATCAAACGCTCTCGATAGGGTAAAATGCATTAACCAGTTTATATAAATAACACAGTAGGAACCAACTGTATACGCCAATTTTAAGCTATATGAATAGCTATACAAACTAATTATCTAGGAAACAGATTACAAATTTAAATTTAATCATACCTTATTCTCACTAAACGTATCAGGTATTCTTGAAATGCACAAGCCTCTCTCTCTCTCTATATATATATGTATGTTCAGTATATGTACTTGTATGTTTGATGATTTGTCATTGTGATCCAAGTTTTAATAACATTAACATGACAAAGAAGCCATTATGCACCCATTTTTTCTTATGAAGGGAAAATATTTATTGTGAAACAAGTCTTGGGTAATAAACTAAAAAACAACCAAGTCTTGGGTAGGAATCATGTACATAGGAATTTTGCACCTTGTGAGACAAGTCTTGGGAAATAAACAAGCACCCAAAGATGCGACCAGTAGTATATGACCTGACTAAACAACAAGATCCTCCAACATTTGTATCCTATTTCCCTAGCAAAGTTATGAGTTACCAAATATCATAACTACTAAGCTCTTAAGACTCAATAAACATATAGTTACCTAGTCAAGTTCCAAATTTCACTACTTGTTCTATGAAATCTGAATAAAACTTCTGTATATTACTTATATAGAAGTTGTATTCAGATTTCATAACAATAAAAATATTATTCATATTCGTTGGAGTGTTATATAGTGTCTTTACATGTACCAGATTCGTACTCTTTGTTTATCCTGTCAGATTTTACACATGTACACTGGTTGAAGAGCACCCTAAGGACTGCTGATCTCCAGCTAACTACTTTAGTTGTAGATTTAGCACCACCCCGTCTCTCCATAACCCAAATTTCCTATGTGCTTGCCTAGTTATTGGCCATTTTAGTCTTCTTTTCCTGGTTTACTAAAGTTACATTTCCCATCTTTCACTTCACTCTGTCCCGAAGTTGTTCCCTCCACTCTCTATCCAGAAAAAGAGAAAAGGAAAAGAATCACGTGTTTTTTCTTTGATAAGGTAAATAGTTCTAATAATTTGGGAAAATTCCTGTACACAAGTAGTATACCCATAAAATCTTGTGTTCTCTAGTGCGAATATGAGTTCATTGTTCTCTTTTCCAGAAATTCCAACCACCCTACTGTTCTGTTAAATTTTATGATACCCTTGTAACAAAACATCAAAAAAACACAAGAGGACTATGCGTAAGTGTCATTATATGCAAGTATCTTCACATACCTCCACGAGATTAGCATACCTTCCAAAGGGATTGATATCTCTCTTTCACATGTATTTGATAAAGAGAGAAATTCAAACTCAAGCTTCTCCTTGACTTCCTCGGAAAGACGGAATCAGCTACCTGGATGTAGAGGCTCTACAGATCTCTTAGTTTGTCGTGTTATTTGAGCTGGGAATTTTCCAGGGGTTGGAACAGTATATGGTGGAATTGTAATAGTGCTGAATTACAGTGGAAGCATTTTGTTAGTGAGATTGTCATTGATTTTAATATTTGCTGCGTTGATATGTTCTGTATAGGACGGATTAGAGATATGATTTAAGTTTTGTGTCAAATATGTCACTAGAATTAAGCAAGAAATTTTTTTGCAAAATAAGCTATTAAACAAAATTGTGATATGACTAAGAAAATTAGGAACAATAAAACAATAGTTTTATTAGAGTAGGATAAAGATGTAAAGATGGATTTAAAAAATATAAAGAGTAATGTGTGTTAGGGTGTGGAGAGAGAGATGAGCAAAGGGTAAAACCAACCATTGATGCTTTGGGATAAATGTCATCCGATGCCCCCCACTCCAAGGTATTGAATTATCATGAAGATGGAATTTGAATTCCCTTGTCACTCCCAAGTTCAAAAAGTTAATTGAATCAGTCAATCAATTAACCAACCTCAATCTCAAGTTAGTAGGGGTCGACCATGGGAAGTTTTTTCTAGGTCCACTATATTCAGGATTATTTCCTTTCAATACTAAATGATTTATCAGGAACACAAATTTGGACCAAAGTTCTTGGTTATAATAGTTATTTTCCAATATTCTACCTGAACTACAAATCCGACAACCCTTAGCCCTTAGGGACTAAACTATACAATGAGGTGGCAGCATAGTGTTCAACTGTGTTATGTCAATACTTACTGTCTTGGGATATCTGTGTCACATTTGTGTCATGGGCAGCAGTATTATGTTCGCATTCTCAACATACTCTATTGCCCGACTCACTGTTTAATACTTGTTCCAAAGGATTGAAACAAACTTATGGTTATTGGATACATGTGACTTGTCCTTTTCATACTGAAACAAAAGGCTAACTTATCTTTACTTCTTGTAGTGTGATTTTCTGTGAAGCCGTTGCTATCTATGGTGTTATTGTGGCAATTATTCTGCAAACTAAATTAGAGAGTGTCCCAGCATCCAAGATATATGCAGCGGAGTCCCTTCGAGCAGGATATGCAATATTTGCCTCTGGAATTATTGTGGGCTTTGCCAACCTTGTTTGCGGGTTTGTAACTTTTTCTTATTAAAGAAACTTGTTTGCATACAGAGCTTTCTTCTGTTTCACTTGACCATCTTCCTAAATATATTCCTATAAACAGGCTCTGCGTAGGGATTATTGGTAGCAGTTGCGCATTGTCAGATGCACAAAATTCCACCCTTTTCGTCAAGATTCTTGTGATTGAGATTTTTGGTAGTGCACTGGGATTGTTTGGAGTGATTGTGGGAATAATCATGTCAGCTCAAGCAACATGGCCTTCTAAAACAGCATGATCGCGTACATCTGCTTTCTTTGCACTGCCATTTGGAAGCTGTATTTTCTCTCTTGCCAATAGTTTATTGTTTTTGTAGGAGTATTAATTGAAGAGGTTCTTGGTTCTCCCACTGCATTCACATAAATGAAATCGACATAAGCTAGGCCATGTCTGACCTGCAACCGATGTGTCATTTACACTGTTGTATTATTACTTCACTAGAACTGAAGAAACATGAACTTATAGTTATATTTTTTTCCTGGAGAGTGCTGCTTGTACTTATTCTCAGCAAAAGAATATTGTTTGTACGCGGATAGCCGCTGAAAGTTAATAAGCTCCTGCCTGAATGAATGCAAATTTGGTTTTCAAATGGAGTACTGCATTTGCCCTTACATATTTGTTATTCTTCACAGTAGGCTTGGCGACTGGAATTTCCTCATATTCTCATAGCCCCAAATGTCAAAGTTGGTTATTAAGCAAACAAAAGTGGAATCCCTAATCCCTCTTGACTAGAGATCATACTGAATGCACCCAATGGTGTGGCCTAGTGATTAATGAAGTGGGTTGAGATTTATGAGGTCTCAGGTTCAAATTTCAACAAAGACAAAATTAGGTGACTTCTTTTCATATGTTCTTGTCTTGGTGGATAGAGTTATCTGGTACATGTTGGTGGTGAAAGGTGATGGCTATTCTGTGAAATTGGTCGAGGTGTGTGAAAAGTTGGTTTGAACATCACGATCATCAAAAAATAAGACCTAATGATAGGTAGTAGCTACTGTTGCACTCACGACCTAATTAATATGCTTGTCTTATTCAAAATCTTATATTATTAAAGTGATTGTACATTTATTTATAATCTCATTTTGAATGTGATAAACCTTGAATATAGAACTTGCTTTGAAGTAATTGGCAACCGAAGGGACATATACTCTGAAAGAGGCGAATTCAGAATTTGAAGTCACAAGAGGGAAGCAAAGCTTAAAAGGTTCCCTTTCTGCCACTGAAGCAACAAAACACTCTGTTAATGGGTTCCCAAGTCTTTTTTCTTACATATACAAATGCAAGATCTGCCCAAAAGTTAAACTGTAACATCCAATATAGACATGTTTGTACTTCTCGAACCATGAGTATAGGATGAGCTGCATTTTCAGCCAACACCACTTTGTCAGAAAACCTGCTCTGTGTCAAGGAAATTTATGTACTGGCAAATATTAACTTTATTTTCACTATACTACATTCATGAAGTCATGAATTGTATACAGATACAACAACAATAACACTGGCCTGCTATATGTTGGTGCACCAGAATACAGTCATTCGCGAGATGGGCATATACACAAAATGCTCGTCTCAATTATGCATCCAACAATGCTTTAATAACCAGGCCAGTATAAAAACCAGTGACATTACTTCAATATCGAAGGAAAATCGTAGAAATGAGGCATGTTTTTCTGCTGAAGCTCTTCACAATCTTCTGGACTTGCAGCTTTTAGATCAAAGGACGGATGATCTGAAAGTGATAAACCTTGTTTAATGCGACCTAGTCTTCTTGAATATAGAACCTGCTTCGTATTTACTGGCAGCCTAATAGACTGGTATTCTTCAAGAGCAGAGTTCAGATTTTCCACTTGCCACTTCTCTAAGCATTTGCCTAAAACAGCTGCATCCAATATCGACATGTTTGTACTTCTTACACCATGAGGAGTAGTAGGATGAGCTGCATCTCCAATCAACACCACTTTGTCCCAAAAAATCTGCTCCAGAGGATCACAATCATATATCACATTTAGGAAAGGCTCCTTAATTTCTTTAATTACCCTGACCAATTCAGGAACCCAAGTCTTCTCAGCTTCTTCATGCATGTTTTGAACCAAGTTTTCGCTAACCTTCATTGTCACAGAATTCCCCTGGATTGCATAACAAACTATTGGTTTTCAGAATTAATACTTTCAATATAAACAGACAATAATCAAGATACTGATCTGGAAAAACAGGCATAAAGTAATGGTACCAAAGTCCCCCAGTCTACTCCTCTAGGTAACACTCGAAATGTGTTGAACTTACATCATTAATTGTATATCAGATATGTGGTTTAGAAAATGATCTGTCCATCCACTCTCCAAATCTCTAATTATTATCTGATCTGATGGAACTATATGTTGATCCATTCACGATAAATAACAGTTCTAAATCCACTTTAAATCAATCAACTATAAATCAATTTTGAATCTATTGGTATTAGCTATATGAATCCTCTCTATATCACATTGTTTTATTCAGGTCCATATTGTTCCAACGCTCACTAAATAAGAGATACATAATACTCCCTTCATTCCACTGGCAGCATGTCCTTTTTAATCCATTCCAAAAGAATAGAAACTTTCTAAATTTGGAAACAATAACTTAACATCTCATTTAATATTATGGCATGTTTACAATGCAAGTTTCAAAAGTTAAGCTTTTCTTTATTAAACACTGTGTCCACTCAAACTATGCCACATAAAATGAAATGAAAAAGGTAATTGACTCTTTTACATTGGTCTTCAGCTTATCACAACCCACAATTCTCCTTTCTTATCAGGGTTAACGTTAACGATCATTCAGGATAGACATTACTTTAATAACCATATCACTGGATTTGACAAGCTTATTACCTTGAGGTTTGGTTCGGGCTGATTAATGTACCATATCCAATTGAACCTATGGTTCAATAATTCATAAAATACACTATGAGTTCCAGAGCTCAGGTCAAAGTACAAGCATTTCCCAAGATCTGGATACACTTTCTTAAGGTTGCTGATGGCTTCTGAGTGCTTCTTATTGGAAAAATCAAGAACCCCTCTCCACGCACAGTACCCTGAATATCTAACAGAAAATAGGGGTCACTAAAAACACCAAACTGATGCATTTCATCGATTAGAAAAGGGGAAAGAAGAAAATTAATTGACTTTATATACTAACCTCAGCTTAAGGTCAGGAAGGAAACGTTGTCTGATTGAAGACAGACAACCATCAGCAGCAATAAGCAAATCAGCAACAATGTTGATTGTAATGCCCGTTTCAAGAACTTTAGTTTCAACTTCCACTTTTGATTTGTCATCATACATGGAAAAGGAGAGAAACAAATAACCCCATAAAACAATATCTAGCGGTAGTGCACCATACAAAAGGCTATGGAGATCAGCCCAATAAGCTGCTCTGAAATTAAAATGTTCATCCCTTGCCAATGTCCGGCTCACTTTTGTTTCTCCATCAGTTTCCTGGTTCTGTAGTTGACTAAAAGTTCAGCAATGAGGATGGATGAAAATCTAATTGTGAAATTAATATTGGTGGAACTAGGTCCAAAAAAAAAAGGAACAATATCTCATATTAGGCAGACAGAGGAAACAACAAAAGGAACAACAATAATAGAACACAAACTGCCTGAACTTTTACCTTATTGGTGTGGTTTCGATTCCCCACCTTGTAATCATCTCCCCATTTCCCCTTCCCCTTCCCCTTCCCTTAACCCCAAATCTCAATTTGAAGTAAAAAACCAACATAGCTGGGGAAAGTAGCTACTCTATAACTTACTTGATCGACGACAAGAGGCAAGGTAGTTTGTTGAAGGAGTTGGGGTTGTTGAATCCAAGATTGAATGATTTTCTGAGAGAAAGTGTCAAGTCCAAGACCAGCACCAGTGGGGCTACCAGTTGGAGGTTGTGGAGTTTTCTCAATAACGACAACATCCCAACCAGCTCTGATGAGAGCATGTGCACAACATATACCTGCTATGCTGCCTCCAACAATCACTGCCTTCGGTTTCCCCATTTCTTTCTTCTCTTTCTGTGCAAAAGCCTTTGGTCTGGGTGTGCTCGTGTAAGTTTATAATCGTATCCAATATGTTTATTACTATTTGTTAAAAAGTAATGAAAAATATATTGAATTGTACCAAATAATATGTCATTTTATTTATTAAGTTTAATAATAATAAATATTAAAATTCTGACCTAAAATAATGAAACTGACTATAAGCGACAGCATAATTAACATTCAAAGTTCTAACACTGAAATTTTTTATGTTAATTCCAATTGAAATTAAATTAGTTCTACATCTCGACTCTCGAGCAGTAGCTAGTAAATTGCAATGATCTTGCATAACAAGCTACGAGTTATTATATATTTTTCTTCTCTTATGATTTTTAAATTTCTCTTATTGAGTAATTAAATTAACTAGGCTCAATACTTAAGTTTCATCTTGATTGTGCTTATAACAAATATTTGAAAAATTATTTTACCAAAAATACTATTTAGATCAAGTGTACATTTTTATTCCCTCAAAAATTAATTAGATTGCAAATTAGTTAATTGACTGCTTAATTGGTCCCCTTTTTCAATCTTATTTAAATCAGATTGGGGGTCAATTTGTTTTTTTTTTGACAACCAACATGCTAGTTATATTAATGCATAATAAGGTTCAAAAAGTTAAAAGATGTAATAGCATCACTTACAATCCATCTAGGGAAAGTAGAAAGGCACACAACTTTGCGTACTAACTAAATATAAAATTTTGCTAAATTATGTGCTACTAAATTCCAAGACCTTGGAATATGCATCACATTGACCACTTCAGAGCACTTTATAAGGTTCCAAATGTCCTCACAAGTAGTCTATATCTCCTATGAGACTATAGTTCTTTGTAGTACCATATCCACCACATTTTTTGCATCTGATAAGATTTGCACCTTTGTCCATCCCTTTTCTCTAGCATTCTCCAGCGCCATACGAATTGCAATTGTTTCAGCAGTGATAACTTTCCCAACATATTGAATTGGGGTACCAAATGCATGAAGCAAGTTACCATAGCTATCCATAGCCACCACATCAATGCTTGTCGTCGTCTTTTCCTTATGTACACTAGCATCTGTAAACACAACAATACCATCTTGTGTCATAGTTATATTTCTATCATCATTACAAGCAGGTATAACTGTAGGGGAAAATGGAGGAATCAAATTATTTTCATATTCATGGAAATCGAAAAGAGTTTTGTTAACAAGATCATTAGGATCAGAAATTTCTCCATTGAAACTCTTCGAATTTCTAGCCTTTCAAATTTGCCACATAATAGAAATACTTAATTTTATAAGCTCAATAGAATCAAGGTATTTTTTAGCATTAGTAAAAAGATCATTCCACCATCTAGCAAAATCCACAGTATTTTCTAAACTAGGTCAATTAATAGGGCAAATATTCCAAACTAATTGGGCACTAGAACACCTAAACAACATGTGATCAATCGTTTCACTCTCAAGTCCACAACCCTTACACACTCCACAAATATGCCTCATTCTCCTAGAAATCATATGGTTGACCGGTAACATGTTCAAAATACATTTCCGAATAAATCATAGACCATAAAAAGTTCCAGAATTCTTTTGAGAAAGACTGATTACTAGATTGAGCGCTCTCATTACTCACTTTTTCACATCTAATCATTTCCCTAGCTAAGTGGTATTCTGATTTAACCTCATACTTTCCAGACTTGGTATGGTGTGAAATAATCTTATTTGATGAGCCTGTGGTTGAAATAGGTATAGAGACTATTGTATGGAAGTCATTTGGACAAAAATAATTCTCAAGATCATCCAATTTCCATGTATTGGTACTTTCCTTTATAAGATCATTCACTCTCAACTCAACATCTATTGGAGCATGCATCCTCAACCCATGCTACTGTGGCTCAAATTTGGCGTCATATTTCGTTTGGACAGACTTATAAAAAATAACTTATAAGTTAAAAAATTAAAAATCAAAAGCAAGGAATATTCGGCTTTTGATTTTGACTTATTTTTAAATTAGGTGGTTTCTTTCTATTTGTTTTAGTTTAGATCGATAGAGTTATTTGATATTTAGAAATTAATCGAGATATGCACCAACTGACTGGGAGAAAAAAAGAAAAGGAAAGACATGTTTTTCTTTCTTCATGGTGAATAGAATTTTGTCGATAGTTTTAATTAATTAAAACTCACATGAATGTTCTATAGTATACAGTAAGCAAGTCATATTTCATTTAGCAATAAGCTCTATATTATAACAATATATAATTATAAATGATTGGAAATTAACTAAAAATTAGTATAATGTTAAGCTAACAATAAAGGGAAAAGACATTGACTAAACTATTTAGGAAATAAACCTAGAAATCCTAAATAATTTAGGATTTGTTTTATCCTAATTCATATAGGAATAGATTTTCTAGTCCTAATTTAATTTGGTTAGTTAACCTTATAAATAGGGGTGTCTTATTACCTATTTTTATATAGTTAAATAAATAGAAGACTTTTGCGTTCATTCTTTTATTCCTTAATACGGAAATTGAGAACATGAGTGACGAAAGAAGAGTTGGTATTCATGTGAGTTCCGACGCACCTGATGAAAGAGATGGTATTGAAAGTCACAATGATGATGGAGAGGATAATATGGGAGAAGATTCGGTGAATCTCACAGGGAGGAAGAAAAAGTTATTTGAATTGAGGTTAAAAATGAACGAGGCAAGAAAAGCGAATCAATCTGCAATGGTAGCAGAGAAGAAAAAAACAGAAGTTCCACCTGCAGAGTCTAGCAGGGGAATGTCCAAGCAAAAATGGATTGAAGAGAGGAAGAAGAAAATTGGGAATTTGTTGGATGCCAATGGGTTAGATATGAGCAAGGCATATATGCTAGATACACAAGATTCTGCAGAGGCAAAGTATAACAAGTGGGAGAAGGAGCCTGCTCCAGTTGGCTGGGATGTTTTTAATAAGAAGACGCTATACGATGCATACAAGAAGCAGACAAAGAATATTGCTGTTGATGTAGATGAGTATAATAGAATGAAGGAAGCTGACCGAGAAGCTTCTAGTCTCCAGTATGGAAAGGCACCAAAATTATCAGACGACAAGATAGAGAGGATGGTGAAGGAGCTCAAGGACAGGGACGAGAAGCACCAATCATTTAGTCGGAGGAGAAAGTTCCATGAAGATAAAGACATTGACTCTATTAATGATCATAACGAGCACTTCAATAAAAAGATTGAGCGTGCCTTTGGAAAATACACCTTGGAGATCAAGAATAACCTTGAGAGAGGAACTGCTTTGCCTGATTGAGATGCTCACTTGCTTTCCTGTATCATGATTTTAGTTAATGTGAATTTCTATTTATCAACCTTATACAAATGAATTATAATATATCACAATAACATAGACACTTTTTTTGTCATTGTTCACTCATCAAAATTGTCTCCAAATAATCTTAATAAACAAATAAAAAGATACAACAACCTTGACTTGCAAATCCACAAGCATAAGCATAGTTGTCTTTCTTTTATTCATCAAAGTATCTACGGTATATAAATAACAATCTTGTCCGTAGTATTTACAATAACTTGTTTTGACTCCATTTGTCTTTACACTGCCGTGAAACAATGTTGCACAGTAATTTTTTTCTACTTCAGAGCAAAGTGTTGAAAAGAACATGTCAAAGAAAGTTAAAGCACTCGTGAAATCACTACAACTTTCTGCCGTGTTGATTCATAATATAGCTTGAGAGACTACTACAACATGGGAAATATCACACATAACTATAATAGATTGAGAAAAAACTCACTAAACATTGGAGCAAGATGAAAATCATATTCATGATCGGCAGGGTCCGCCCTTCCTAAGATCGAAAGAAAGAGTATAGACATGTATTTCATTTTTTCAACTTCAGAGCAAAGTGTTGAAAAGAACATGTCAAAGAAAGTTAAAGCACTCGTGAAATCACTACAACTTTCTGCCGTGTTGATTCATAATATAGCTTGAGAGACTACTACAACATGGGAAATATCACACATAACTATAATAGATTGAGAAAAAACTCACTAAACATAGGAGCAAGATGAAAATCATATTCATGATCGGCAGGGTCCGCCCTTCCTAAGATCGAAAGAAAGAGTATAGACATGTATTTCATTTTTTCAACTTCAGAGCAAAGTGTTGAAAAGAACATGTCAAAGAAAGTTAAAGCACTCGTGAAATCACTACAACTTTCTGCCGTGTTGATTCATAATATAGCTTGAGAGACTACTACAACATGGGAAATATCACACATAACTATAATAGATTGAGAAAAAACTCACTAAACATAGGAGCAAGATGAAAATCATATTCATGATCGGCAGGGTCCGCCCTTCCTAAGATCGAAAGAAAGAGTATAGACATGTATTTCATTTTTTCAACTTCAGAGCAAAGTGTTGAAAAGAACATGTCAAAGAAAGTTAAAGCACTCGTGAAATCACTACAACTTTCTGCCGTGTTGATTCATAATATAGCTTGAGAGACTACTACAACATGGGAAATATCACACATAACTATAATAGATTGAGAAAAAACTCACTAAACATAGGAGCAAGATGAAAATCATATTCATGATCGGCAGGGTCCGCCCTTCCTAAGATCGAAAGAAAGAGTATAGACATGTATTTCATTTTTTCAACTTCAGAGCAAAGTGTTGAAAAGAACATGTCAAAGAAAGTTAAAGCACTCGTGAAATCACTACAACTTTCTGCCGTGTTGATTCATAATATAGCTTGAGAGACTACTACAACATGGGAAATATCACACATAACTATAATAGATTGAGAAAAAACTCACTAAACATAGGAGCAAGATGAAAATCATATTCATGATCGGCAGGGTCCGCCCTTCCTAAGATCGAAAGAAAGAGTATAGACATGTATTTCATTTTTTCAACTTCAGAGCAAAGTGTTGAAAAGAACATGTCAAAGAAAGTTAAAGCACTCGTGAAATCACTACAACTTTCTGCCGTGTTGATTCATAATATAGCTTGAGAGACTACTACAACATGGGAAATATCACACATAACTATAATAGATTGAGAAAAAACTCACTAAACATAGGAGCAAGATGAAAATCATATTCATGATCGGCAGGGTCCGCCCTTCCTAAGATCGAAAGAAAGAGTATAGACATGTATTTCATTTTTTCAACTTCAGAGCAAAGTGTTGAAAAGAACATGTCAAAGAAAGTTAAAGCACTCGTGAAATCACTACAACTTTCTGCCGTGTTGATTCATAATATAGCTTGAGAGACTACTACAACATGGGAAATATCACACATAACTATAATAGATTGAGAAAAAACTCACTAAACATAGGAGCAAGATGAAAATCATATTCATGATCGGCAGGGTCCGCCCTTCCTAAGATCGAAAGAAAGAGTATAGACATGTATTTCATCTTTTACTCAGTATTATCACCCCAAGTATATACATGTAACTTGAGTATAGGCGAATATTGCTCACAACAAAATGACAAATCGCCTACTTGTTTAAAGCTTTTTGCTCCCTATTATGATGCTGTTTGTAGAGAAAAAAAAGTTGAATGACAACATTACGCAACTATCTTTCTTTCACCATCTTCAAGCCATCCCTCCATCCCAAACTCCATTTTGGAGATCCTTGAACTTTCGCCAATTTGTCAATTACTTGTATGATCAAAACTTGAAGGCAATTCAACCAAACAAAGTAAAATGTGAAATCTATCATAATACTGCGACCTGCATAACATTTAAATTGTAAAGATTGCCAAATTAGTTGATAAAATTTAAAACCAAACAAATCAAAAGGTAGAGTGCTTAACATGCAAGGTACAGGCCAATGACGAACAACTTGAAGCTTAGCATACACCAAAGCATGCTCCTTAATGATCAATTTAAAGTTCATAAGACATTATTCATCACTATAATTGAATGAGTACCATAGTACAACTCCCAGTATTTTCCATTCCATTAAGTAAAGACAAGTAAATAGAGGGGCATACATGATTCTTTCACGACTTGAGGTGTTAATTTACTTATTAAAATATACCCCCCTCTACCCTTTACTAGAGAGATTGCAAAAGGGAGGGCTGAGTGGTTGAGTCATAGGAATAACAACATGAAAATCCTAATTTCATATCCCATTACAACACTAAGTGTGAAACTCGCCTGATGGATTTGTCGAGGTGAAAGCTGGTAATGACACTACCTTTACACAAAGTTAAAAAAGGCAGTCATACCAGACTATCTCCGAGAAAATTGGGGTCGCAGTCAGTGGCAGAGTCAGAATTTTTAATAAAGGGGTTCAAAATCTGAAAAAATAGATCCAGGAAGTAGCCGAAGGAGGTTGACATTTACTGTATATAACAAAAAAAATATTTTAATCATATATAAATAATATAATTTTCCGCCGAAGAAGGTTCCCGTAAAATTCAAGTGCACCAAGTTCCCGCTATGCGCGGACCCAAAGAAGGGTTGAACCATAAGGGTCAATTGTATGCAGCCTTGACCTACATTTCTGCAAGAGACTATTTTCACAGCTCGAACCGGTGATCTCCTAGTCACAAGGCAACAACTTTACCGGACAAAAAAAATCAATCACTAAACATATTCTGTCTTTTGAGTTTTCTTCACTCGCAACTCCCACAAATATCAGCGGCATCATCATAGGTGTTTGGACACATACATAGCAATAGTTACTAGTCATATATATGTGCGTATCTCTTTACTAGTCGGGCTCAGGCATTTCTCAAATCCTACAAGGTATAAGTACAGATGAGCCTCAGAGAACAAGGTAAAATTAACTCCATAATCTCTCTTCTTTCTTGTCCCAACAGTACTTAATTCATTACTATAGTTGACGATTTAGAATGTTAGTTTTATTCTCTCATTGTCTTTGCCGTCTTGAAAAAACTTTTGTATTTGCGAAGGACAAGTAGAAATAACCATGATCAGGATACGCTATGGATTTGTTAAAATGCCCCTTAGCTATTTGATAAAATGTCTGAAAGAAAATTGCAGGTATGTTGTGTATGAATTTCCAAGTTTCATTACCTTCTAAGGTATATTAGCAGCTTCACATCAGTTGCAAGAAGTTGTGTTCAATCGACTACTTCCAAAAATCACATGTTGAATCTGAGTTCACGAAAATTATTGCAATCATTAAAACAGTATATGAAATTTGGGGGAAGTCGTGCTTGACGGATGTATTTATTTCAGCTATTACCCTCTTAACCTAAGTTAATAGAATGATGTTTATTGTAAATTTTGGGATGATTAAATAAGTTTGAATTATACTTCAGGATGATATTAGTCAAAAAAATTCAATTTAATAGCTGTAACAAAAAATTATCAATTACATATTTTTTCCTTTGTAGAGTTCCCATGATTCCCATAAACTATTTTAAACTAAAACAAATATCACTACAAAAAACAAAAAAAAATGTTCCTATCCTTTTTCTTCTCTTCTTGTTGTATTCTTCCTCTTTTTCATTGATATAGGAGCTTAGGTTAATTGCTTTATACTAAGGGTTTTGCCCTAATTCCAACAGAGGGAGCAACAGCAGTGTTAGAGCATAATGATGGAGGTACATAAAAGCAACTCTGAAAGAAACGGTGCTGAAGAACTTCCACCGCTGTTGGCCTCTTGCAAGGATCCCACGAACAAAGCCAAGTTATTAGATTAATTGCATCCTCACTAACATATGGGAGTACTTTAGACAGAGTTACACCACAGATCTGCGGAAACTGGTAGTTGATAGCACCAGCAAGTTCGTGTCCATGAGCCCATTCACTCTTTGATGGAGTACCTATAACACTGCATATTCTGTAAATCTCATCTGCTTCACTCAAACCAGGGAATAGAGGACGAAGAGTTAATAACTCAGCTATTATTGCACCCATTGCCCACATATCAACAGCAGGACCATATATTGGTGATTGTAAAAGAACTTCAGGGGCACGATACCAGCGTGTTGAGACATATTCAGTATATGGGGGCTGAGAATTGATCTCCCTAGCTAGACCAAAATCAGCAATTTTTATAGTATGATCTTTTGAAACCAACAAGTTCTCTGGCTTAAGATCGCGATGAAAGTATCCTCGTTGATGGATGGATGCAAGACCTTGAAATATTTGGAAGCACCAATTTCTGACTTGTGATTCTAAGAAAAGATGAGGCCTATTCTCCATAAGGTTATATAAGTTGCACTCCATGTATTCAAACACAAAGTATAATATGTCATTCTCTCTAATAACTTCTTTGAGCTTAACTATATTTGGATGGCTCATTCTCCTCAATGACTTGACTTCTCTCAAGTTGATGCATTCTTCCCATGAATAATAATTCTTCTTCATTTTCTTAATTGCAACCACTTCACCCGTCTGTTTATTCAAAGCTCGCCACACATTCCCAAATGTACCATTACCAACTTCCTTAATTATTATGTACTTTTCCATTAGAACTAACACACGTTGTTCCTCTTCACTAGTCGATTGGAAAAAGCAATACTTACTATCCACTAAATAGGAACTAGTAGTCTAACACTAGGAAAAAGCTTGCCAATGAAGGACTTTCTGGAATGATTTGAGCAGAGGTACAATTGGTCCATGTCTTAAGTAAAATTAATACACTGGAATTGAACTCTAACAAAGCCACAGAAGAAAGAATGCTTAACTCTACCAAACCCTAAAAAACTGAAGTTTATTTGTTCTTTGTCCTTCAATCTCACTTCCTATTTATAATACTAAGAAATTAACCAAACCAATTCCGATATGAAGAAGGACAAACAAATTCGATAAATACCAAATATTAAGTTCTAAACAAATTAGGATAAGTGACAAAGATACCATATTTAGAATATTAACAAACCAAATTAAATTTGAATCAGGAAACCTTTTCCAATATGAATTAGGACAAATTAATTTTAGCTAGACATAAAATAAATAAATATCAAATAAAAAAATTCTAAACAACTTAGAATTCCTACTCTTAGTTTATTTCCTAAATAATTGAAGAAATATTATTAAGTTAATGGTTAAAAAATTGGTTTGACAAACAAAACATCAAAAATAATAATCCTTTATTTCCACGCTTTAATGATAACTTGGGGGAATTCATTATATTCCCTTCATACTTATTGAAAGGGTTTTTAAAAATCCATATTTGAGAATTATTAGACTAATCATTTAGTTCAAGATTTTAATAAGAATAGAAAGAGAAAGATAGCTATTTTTTGCTTGAAGTTATTTAATTCACTTGAAATCAAATAAGCAAATAAATAAATTGTGAAATAGTTTTCTTTCATCCTTCAAATCACCTAAAAAAGAAGTGTTTTTTCAAGCAACTTAAAAAGAGCTTTTCTTTTCAAGTAAATGTCCAAAAATAACTTTTAATTTCAGTTGTAAAATTTAAGAAGTTCTTCAATTAATTAAGTTAGTTAAATAGATTTTAGTTAACTTTCGAATAATCGCATATTAGTTGACGTTTCAAGTGCTTAAACCTTCTTGACCAAATATTAATAAGAACCCTTATCCATTCTTTAAATTTTTTAAAGATTTTTTTGTTAGAATCATTAAAAATAAAGTTTTCGTAATTTCTTTAGTATTAATTAGTGGCAATTCTGTCTAAAAATACTTTTACATAATTTTGAAAGTATTTAGATATTTTAAAGTGATTTTTCAATCAAGGAAAGTAAAATCACTACGACATAACAATTACACTTTCCCAAAATTATTTTTCCTTAATCTATATCTCAATTAATATGAGTATTATAGTGAAATATATCTCAATCAATACAAGTATTATAGTGAAATATGCATTTCAATTATTATGTTTTAGATAATTAAAGTGCAAATCTATTATAAAAAAAAATTAAAAGTAAAATGACGAAATAGATGTATCATAGCACCAAAAAAACAAAATAAATAATATATATAAATGAGCCATAATGCTCAAAATAATTACATATTCATACCCTAATTCAAAGTAATTCAAGAAATACTTATTCTCACAAAAAAAAAATTACAACTCATACCTTCATTCATTAAGGCTGATAATTTTCGCTTAACTGATATTAAATCACTATTATATATTGTATTGGTGTCATTAAAGCTGATAATTCCGCTTAACTAATATTAAATCAGTATATATATATACTGTATTGGTCTCATTAAGGTTTCTTCTTCATAAATTACTCATTAATCAATGATACTATAAGAGTATATGTATATTGTTGTAGTACATTAAAGTTTCTTAGCTTGTTTAGAAATTATTTATTAGTCCTTTTTCTTTTTTTAAAAAAAGAAGCAAATTTACCACTAGATAGTGTCTAGCGGTATTTTATTAAACATAAAAAAATATCAATAGGGATAAGTACAAGCAAGGGGGGATAGGCCTTACCTTACCAATCCTAATGAAATACCTAATTTCTGTTACCTAACAAGCATAAAGAAAATAAGAGCTAGAGAGAACTAAGTATTTTGTGATGTGAAAATTTTATAAATGACATATATAAGACTAATATTTTCAAGTTATGATAGTATAATAAAACTTTCAAGTTGTAACAATAAAAAATTTCAGATTGTAACATTTTATTAAAAAAAAAGATTTTTAAAATAATAGTAAAAATAATATTTTTTTTAAATCATAAAAAGAAAAAAAACGGATAATTAATTTATAGTCATTAATTTGAATACAATAAGTATAATTAATAATGCCATAAATTTAGGAGATTCAAAACAAAATAGGAATATTTATTTTCTTTTTTTACTCAATCAGTTAAAATTAATTCAAAAATCAGATTTTCTTTTATTTTCAAACGTTTCTCTCTCCCTCGATTTTTTTTTCTTTCAATTTGTTTTCCTTTTTTTACCCAATCAGTTAAAAGTAATGCAAAAATCAGATTCTCTCTTCTTATCAATATTAATAAAACATGGTGGTAGATGGGATCCTTCATGTTAGTGTTTTTTGTGATTTACTATTTGTATTGTTATGTTATTCAAACGAAAAAAATAATAAGAACAATGAAACTGTAAAGATTTTTTTTAAATTTTGTTTGTATATAATAGATTTAAATTGTGACGTTTTTTGTATGAACATTCTTTTGTTCATATTACATAATAAATTTTTGAAACATGAATAAATATTAGTATGTTTTTTTTTTAATTTAAGGTTTATGGTAAAAAAATATTGATATCATTTTTTTATGTATGCTGATTAGATATAGATTTTGTATAATACTTTTAATTGTGGCATTTTTTTAATTTATACTATTAGTTTTTGATATGAACATTAAATTTGTTCATTCTTTGCATGAATCATTTATCGTTTTTGGTATGACTCTAGTTTAAAAATTGACATAAAATCTGTATGAAACTGGTATACTAGTTATATCAGACTTGAATGGAAACTGGTAATGTTTTGGTACAAATTTGGTATGATTCAATTTTTATTTTTGGCATTATATTGGTATGAAATTGTGCATAATAATGAAATTAATTTGGTGTACTGCTTATTTAATAAAAGAAAATTACTAGTTAGAAATGATATGATTTTGATATTCTTTTTGGCATGAATCTGGTATGCATCAGTGTTGACTTTTGACATGGAATAGGTATAGGAAGTATGCATAAAAATGGTTTGAAATTTGTATACTCATATAACGTATGTATTTGCACTTTTCTATCATGTTTGTAGGGAGATAACAACTTGAATGCTGGAAGGGCTAGCTGATGTGAAATTCAAGAGGTCTAAAATTAAGTGTAGTATATGTCGTCGGGAGGGACACAACATGAAGACATATTCAAATTACCCTGCTGGAAAAAGTCATAATTTATTTTTATTTTTATTTGGTTGTTTAATTGTGACAAACTCGTGTTTTGATTTATTTTGCCTTTTAAGTTAATGAATTATAATTTCAAAATATTTATTATGTGTACTACTTAATCCTTTGTGTATTATGTGTTTTTTAAATGTATAGTGAAAAGTTCGGTAATGCTGATATGCAATTGGTATCGATTGGAAAAATTAAGTCAAAATTAAGTATGAAAATGGTATCCATTTGGTATCCAACTAAAGTCCCACTGATTGAAAAAACATGTAATTGATATTTCAACCGAATTAGCCAACCTAAAACTAGTTAATGTTGTATCCAATTGGTATACACTTGATATCAAACTGATATCCCACTGGAAAATTTTTAAAAAAATTAATTGAGATTTCAATCGAATTAGTCAACCTAAGACTAGTTAATGTAATTTCTAATTGATATTCATTTTGTATCCAAATATCATTGGAAAAATAGAAAAAATAAAAAGTAATTGAGATTTCAACCAAATTAGCTAACCTAAAACTAGTTATTGTTGTATCCAATTGGTATCTATTTGGTATCCAACTGAAAAAAAAATAGAAAAACTAAGATGTAATTGAGATTTCAACCAAATTAGCCAACCTAAAACAAGTTAATATTGTATTCAATTAATATCCATCTGAAAAACATAAGTGTAACTATGTATCTCGTTGTCCTATAAAAGGAATCTCAAAATATTTCAATTTTTACTATGTTTATGATGTGTTTTTCAAAACTAAGAATCCAATATAAATATGGTTAATGCTAATATCCAATTTGTATACACTTGGTATCTAACTTGAAAATTTAAGACAGGCTAAAAATAAAAATGTATGAAGTTGGTATGATATAAATCTGATAATGTAAAATAGTGCATATTATATATTGTTGTAAAAAACTTAGCAAAAACAAATATATATCATCTAAAAATTAAAAAACATGTAATAATTAAAATTCTAAGCTACAATCAACTATCTCAATTTTTTTTTTCATAGTCTTGATTTAGGATAATAGGTAGTATCCGGAGCATGTACTTTTGCTATGTGGGGTCCATCAAATTTGCTAGCAACAATTCCAGTTACTTCACTCTCACTAATTGCGCCATCAACTTTCTTGCTTCTTCCACACTGCCATAGGATTGTGGCGTACCTTTGACGATGGTACTTTGCATCGATATCAATGTGACCCATATTAAAAACTCCATTGCTAATATATTCAGCAAATAGATATGTGTACATACCACAATCACTGAAACAACATTGAAGAAAAAAATAATTTTGAGAAAGAAAATGAATTAATTATTATGAACAAATCACAAAAAGATAGAAATACATATAAATTTCATATAAATTTTTATCTCCATTTCACCAACTTCAATCAGAAAACAATTTAAATACAATTGTGGAAAAGTCATACCAGATTTATACAAACTTCATGTCAATGCACAAACATATTAATACAAAAAAAAATCATACCAACTACATAGTATATTAATTTCATGTCAAAAATATAAAAAAATTGATCATATACAACTTTACTGGGGTTTGTTTCTTCTTGGGAATGGTAACACTCTTGATCGCTGGATTCGCATTCCTGTTGGTCGGCGGAATT